TTCCATAACTCCAGACTACGGAATAAAAATCACTGAATGCTATTTCATAACTTCAGACTATGAAATAAAAATATTTTGCTTTCACCCTGAAATCAATTTCATACTAAAAGGGAAAAGTTATACAAATCTACACGCACAAGTGTTTGCACACCCATGCATGCCTCCCACACATACTTCCAGCTCACAGCACCATCAGCCCTCTCCAGTCTGTGTCTTTGTACACACTCCAGTGTCTGTGTAGAAAGTGACATCTGCTGCAAAGGGTGAGCCTGTCTTAAGGTTGCCTGTGTATTTTCAATTTTGATCCTAGATGATTCGTTCTTGCTTCCTCTGGCGCTTGCTGGGTCTCTCTTGCACTTCCATATTTCCGAGGCAGTATAGAGCCACAAGAGTAAATTTGACTTCACCAAAGATGACATTAAAATAACATGTATTTTAATGTTATTTAATTTATTTAATTTAATTTAAATTAATGGGTGCGGTGGATCACGCCTGTAATCCCAGCACTTTGGGAGGCCGAGATGGGCGGATCATGAGGTCAAGAATTCAGGACCAGCCTGGCCATCACGGTCAAACCCCATCTCTACTAAAAATACAAAAATTAGCTGGGCATGGTGGTGCACGCATGTAATCCCAGCTACTTGGGAGGCTGAGGCAGGAGAATCGCTTGAACCTGAGAGGCAGAGGTTGTGGTGAGCCAAGATCATGCTATTGCACTCCAGCCTGGGTGACAGAACGAGACTCTGTCTCAAAAAAAATAAAACGAAATAAAATAAAATAATATGCAATCTCTTACACTATGATTCTCTCCTTCTAACAGCATCTCACCATTATGAGACTGTTGTTAGTATCCTCATTTGTTATATAAGAAACTGAGGCATCCAAAAGCTAATTAAATTCCTAGTTAGGGCGAGGCATGGTGGCTCATGCCTGTAATCCCAGCACTTTGGGAGGCCAAGGCGGGCTGATCACCCGAGGTCAGGAGTTCAAGACCAGCCTGGCCAACATGGCAAAACCCCATCTCTACTATATACAAAAAAATTTAGCCAGGTGAGGTGCCTTATGCCTGTAATCCCAACACTCTGGGAGGCCAAGGTGAGCAGATCACCTGAGGTCAGGAGTTCAAGACCAATCTGGCCAACATGGTGAAACCCTGTCTCTACTAAAAATATGAAAATCAGCCGGGTGTTGTGGTGGGCACCTATAATCCCAGCTAGTCAGGAGGCTGAGGCACAAGAATCTCTTAAACCCAGAAGGCGGAGGCTGCAGTGAGCTGAGATCGTGCCACTGTACTCCAGCCTGGGTGACAGAGTGAGACCCTGTCTCAAAATAAATAAATAAATTCCTAGTTAGATCCACACTGAGGATTAAAACTCATGCCCCCTTACTTCCAGCCCGGAGCCCGGGTGATATATTTACGTAAGAACTGGGGAGTCCCAGCACTGCTTAGTGTACAAAGTGAGGACTCAAGCAGGGTGTAGACTTTACAGTAGTGAAAGTTGGGAAACGCTTTATGGTGGAAGGATGTGCCCTGTGGAGAAAATAAGAAGGGCATTGACAGGACCAAGGCTCTATAATTCCAGCATTTGGGTTAGAGTGTAGGAACTTGGTGGGAAAAATGTAAATGAGGGGAGAGGGGCAGAAGAGAAGAGCTTGATTTGCTTGTTTTGCAAAAAACAAGATTTGCTGCTTGAGCAACTGAGTGCCACTGTGACTTCCCGGGCCAGTGACTGATAAAGTGGAAAATCTATTTGGAAAGAGTTACCACTATTCATAGGGAGGATAAATACAAGTCTTAAGGGGAAACAGATCGGAATTTTGGAAGCTATCCGTTTTGTTTCTCACAAACAGTGCAAATCTGTTTTCAGAAGGCAGGATTTAAGATACAGACAACATGAGCAGAAAGTACATTGGGGACCTATAGCTATTGTCCTGCCAGAGTCCCAACAGTCAGAAATGGGAGACTGGAGATGGTATACTTTGGTTTAGAAACTCAGATTAATTTGCATTCAAGGGTTTAATGTTCATATTCTATATCATGCTCAGAAGTCTTAGTACAAGAAAATCCCTTAATTCCTTCAAACCAGAGGGATAATGAACATATTTGAGGCATCCTATTTTGGCTCAGGATTATCCTAAACTAACTCTTATGTTTAAAGCGGGGCCAAGTGCAGGGAAGAGGAGAGATTTCTCTGAGAAGGTACAATGAAAAGACCAGCTCCACGCAGGACACTCTTCACACTGATCTCTGACCAGTTCCCACCCTCAGTACAGCAGCCATTCGACACCTAGTCTAGTGGCGAACTATCCCTTCTCGCTGAGCCAAGGAACTGACCCTCAGTTATCCCAGTCCCCTGGCACCGGAATCAGGGAGGAGGTGAATATCAAGGCCATGCTCAGCACCATGCAGGGCACCTGAGGAATGCAAGGAAATGGAACTGGATTTGCTTTTCCAGAGAATATCTATGAAGTGCCTACATCTGAGTGATATAAATGATAAGGTGGTGTTTTTAGTAGAGACAGGGTTTCACCATGTTGGCCAGGATGGTCTTGATCTCTTGACCTTGTGATCCACCTGCCTCGGCCTCCCAAAGTGCTGGGATTACAGGCATGAGCTGCCGCACCTGGCCTGCACTGGGTCATTTTTAAAAATTTATTTAATAATTAGAATTTTCAGTCTGAATCAGTGGCATGCCGGTAAATGTTTAACAACGAGCTCTCTAATGCAGGGAGGAGATGGGCTTGGCTTGTTAATTGCAAGCTACCAATGTCAAGCCAACGAGCTCACCCAATCCTGAAAGCATAAGAATTGGCTTTCACAGAGGGTATGTTAGTTCAACCATTGTGGAAAACAGTGTGGCAATTCTGCAAGACCTAGAGGCAGAAATACCATTTGACCCAGCAATCCCATTACTGGGTATATACCCAAAGGAATACAAATATATAGCTACTATAATATATTATTAATAGATTATATAAATACTATTATAAAGATACATGCATGTGTATGTTCATTGCAGCAGTATTCACAATAGCAAAAACATGGAATCAGCCGAAATGCCCATCAATGAGAAACTGGATAAAGAAAATATGGTACATATATACCATAGAATACTATGCAGCCATGCAAGGAATGAGATCGTGTCCTTTGCAGGGACATGGATTAAATTGGAAACCATTATCCTCAGCAAACTAACACAGGAACAGAAAACCAAACACCACATGTTCTCACTTATATGTGGGAGCTGCTGATGAGAACACACAGACACATGAGTTGGGGAACAACACATACTGGGGCCTGTCAGAGTTGGGGGTGGGAGGAGGGAGAGCATCAGGAAGAATAGCTAATGGATGCTGGGCCGAATACCCAGGTGATGGGACAATCTGTGCAGCAAAAACACCATGGCACATGTTTATTTATGTAACAAACCTGCACATCTGGCACACGTACCCCTGACCTTAAAAGTTGAAGAAAAAAAAATTGGCTCTCAAAAGCAGCTGTCCATGGCACCTTCTTACGTGGAAACATAAAATGCTGTCCTTTCCATAACAAATATTTGCATTTCGTTGGTAGACAAACTCCAGAAATGTTTAGGAAATAGTACATGACAGAACAAAATCAGAATTTAAGTTGTGAGAATGAGATTCTAAGGAGGGAAGGAGGTAGCAAAGTCATGTCAGAATCTGTGGGGAGGAGAAATTAGGAACTCACTGCCCTTTGACAGCAGCACAGGCCTGGTCAGGCAGAGGGAACCAGGTCTTCTGGGATGAAACAGCAGCATCATCAGAGCCGTGGGAATGGCTGAAACCAGCCTGCCTGCCATGGAGACATGTGAGGGAACTCAGTCACAGAGAGCCCTGAGAGAAGAGAGCGAGTGAGGAGGAGTTGGTTTCGGGAGGTTCCTGTGCTTTGAACCCTTGAGAGGTAGATGGGAGCAAGAGGGACAAACTGAGGACTTAAGGTCAGTTCAACTGAGTTGGAATCCCTCTTGCAATTTACCAGTTAGAAAATCCCAGGTGAGTCATGCAAACTCACACAGCCTGTTTCTATGGAATGAATGGGAATAACAGCATTCCCTCCACTCCACAACTCAGGTTTGCTGGGAGAACCCAGTGGGACCCCACATGTGAGAACAGTTGTAAAGCAATTAAGTGCTTTACATGTCAAGTATTATTACCACTTTCTTTCCTTCCAGGCCATTGGGAGGTTGAGGGTTGAATGTTGTTGACTCATCAGGAAGGTGGGAGGGCAGGAAATGGCAACTCTCACTCCTGGAGGGAAGGAAGGGTGTTGATGGGGAGAAATCAACATCTCCCCGGTCCTATAAATTACAGATACCCAAAGGAGCCATGCATGTTCCGCTCCGGGGCAAGAAATGACAACGTAAAAGTGCAATTTAGCAACCAGATGGAGACTCTGCCTAACATCAAAGGAAAGACATTCATATGTCAGTCACCATCCCATCAGGCTCTAAAACCTCGCAAAATCCTGGAAATTAAAGAAACAATTTTCAGTCAATGGGGGATGCTTTTTTTTAATGAGTTTAACTTAGCTGCACACCTTTCCTCCCTGACCCAAAATAAAAGGAGTGTTTACTTTTCATCATTTTATATCACCCTTTGAAGTAACTAAATTCATTCCGCGCCATCCCAAAACCAATTGCAAACTGTCAAGAAAGAGGCTTCACTTAAAAGAGCTAGTGGGAATGAGAAAACCAAGGAAAAGATATTTGAGGCATGGTGGCAAAAAGAAATTCCTGACTGACAGAACAATCAGCTCCTGTAAGAAGAAAGAGGAGGACAGTCAACCTGGAGCTCAGATGCTGGGCCTGGTGGTAGAGGCACCATTCTTGTGGGTTGGGCTTCATGTCAAGGTAAACTTTGCTCAATCTCGCTGCTTTCCTATGTCTAAATAAACATGGCAACTGGTTTGCTTGTCTGTTGATCACATCAACAAATATTTCTCTTCTTTTCTCAAAAATTATTTTTTCTCTTCATAGTGGTGTACTTGATAACTCAGGAGGGAAAATACTTGTTCGGAAGGTTGCTGGACTGTCTGGTTACAAAGGGAGTTACTCCAACGGTGTCCAATCGTTATCTCTACCACGATGGAGAGAATCCTTTATCGTCTTAGGTATGACTGCACAGTGGAGAAATGCTGCTAAACCTACCACAAGATGAAATGTGCTTCTTTTCATTGTGCTGTTGGTTTTTGTTTATGGCCCGCCTCATTTCATAAAAATCTGAAGCATTCGTTTTTCTGATAATTAGAATCATGATACAATAAATTAGAATTGCATGATAAATCACCACAAAGTCAAATCTGAAAATACTAAAAGGCTCCAATTGCTTGTTTTAATTACACTGCAGCTATCTGTAAATCCAATCAGATTTTTAATTACCTTAATTACATTTAATAGCTTGGGTTTTTAAACAAGTTCTTTAGTTATACCAAATGTGCCTCATGTCTGGAACCTTATTCCTTGAGATTTCTGGCAAGTGGGTAGATAGATATTGTCATAGCATATCCGTTGTGTCATACACAATGGCCATATCAAGAGGCATATAATGGCAGTCTGTTCCATTGTTGGTGATGCTAAGTTTGATTCATTTAACACTTTAGCATATCTCTCCATGGCAAAGATACCTTGTAATTAATAAGCATCTGAAGGATGATGCTTTAACATGCTCGAGTAGCTTGCTCCTCAACAAATTTCACCCAATGATTTTAACATCCATTGCTGATCCTCACTGTAGCAAGTATTACATTAGTTATTGCAAAATCATAATTTTTTCTAATTCTGTTATTCCTTCCACATTTATTAGCTAGTGTTCTTATATAAAGAAGAGTTTCCTTCCCCCTCTGCACCTATTATTTTTAAGTGGACTACGGACTCGTAGATTGTTTCTAAAAATATAATATAATGTTATCATCTATTATCTTTATTTTTCTTTTTGGTGCTCATATTTTCTGAGATTGCCCAGCAGGAGCCCTTCAAGCTTTTGACATGTTCATGGTAGTACCTGAGTACAACACAATATTCTTTGCTCACCTTATACTTACCCTACTCCAGACCTGAATCTCCCATTTTCTCTGAGGAAGTTCCATGGGATTTAAAACTAGATTGTAGCCAATTTCCTGGCCTCCCAACAAAATTAGGCACCTTGGGACTGTCCTGAGAAGGAGCCACTTATAGTAAACCAACTGAACCGGGAAGAGAGAAATGTTTCATAAGAGAGTAGGTCTTCCAATCTGGGTGGTTTTCTAGCACTGCTAGGCATCCCATGCCCCAAGCCCCTGCTGTCCTCCACTGGTTACAGTCATAGCAGGACAACAAACAGACCTTTCACTATTCTTCTCAACTTGAGCAATCCCTGTTTCCTTTTGCCTGCCAAATTCTACACACCCACAGTTCAAATTAGACTGATTTCTTTGTCAGATAGTGGAAGGGGATCAACTGCAGTACTGCGAGGTTTTTGCCTTGTAACAAAAAATTCACAACAGGAGCCATATAAAAATGCTAATGTCTAAAATGCAAATATGTTGAGATAGAGAGAAATATAATCTCCACATAGGTGTTCCCCAAGTAGATTCTGGCTGAATAAGAGCATTTCAGCCTTAAGTGCTCAGTCTGCAATCCAAGAATCTCAACAGAGGTTTGAAAGAAAAATTAATTCTGTGGCAGTAGAGATGTTTTGGGCTTTTTAAGTGAAAATCAATCTGCTGATATTATTCCCTGTAAATCTCGACTTCCATCTCCCCTCATTCGACCTAGTGACATTTAACCGAAAATACTTTTTGCCCATGATAATAAACATTTGTGATTCTGCAATGGCTCAGAAGCCTCTCTTGAATGGATGAGTTAGGAGCTCACTGCAGCATAAGGATTGATAACTGACCGGCAGCCAAGGAATGCTTCCCATTATTCAGAGGTTCATGGCCAGCAAGTTTAACTGCATCATGTGCAAATCCTCTTCTGAAGGCTCAGGTGCGGCCATGATCTTTCTCTAGGTTTTTATTTCTAAGTTTCAGATATCCCTGAGCTCCTTAACTAGTTCACTTTGGTGGGTGAGAGGGGGAGCGAAAGAGGAGATGTACATTTACAGCCCGCATGATCTTTACACAGTCCAGGGACATGAAATGTCAGTGAGGGACCCCCTAATATTTCCCTTTTATTCTTTGATCCACATTTCAGGGAACTGAGCTCATGCTCCTTTTCCTTCTGAATAGAAACAGAAAAAAAAATCAGGTTTTAGATCAATAAATAGAGAGAGAAGATGTCTCTTCAATAAATAGAGAGAGAAGGTGTCTCTTCAATAAATAGAGAGAGAAAGTGTCTCTTCTTTCTGCAGATAGTGTGGTCTACAGCCATGGGGCCCTCCCTGGGCCTAAAATAACTTTAATCATTGTCATTTGGAGCTGGCCTCGACATTGGTGGAGGACTTGGAAATGCCAAGTCCTGTTCCCCAAGTGATTTTAATGAGGTGAAGTAATGCAAGTAAGCCCAAACACGTGGCACTTACAGGTAACACCAGAATACAATTTTGCATCTCTATGGAGATATATAGTTCCAAAACATTTTAACATTTTTTTTTCCCATTAGATGTCTACAACTTCATGTAGTTATTAGGGCCATGTCATTATTCCTGTTTTCTGAATGAAAACACAAGAGCCTCAAAGGTTGGGGCATTTAATTAAAGGTAAAATAGAAACAGAAACCTAGATTGTCTTACTCCTAATCCCAGGTTCTTTCTGAGATCCTGTTATTCTTTCTGCTTCATGACCCTACAATCCCTGGGCCAGTAGGATGGTTGGCCAGATAGTGCCCTAGATCCTCCTCCACCCACCTAGGTTCTCCGTGCAACACTGCTTACCATCTTCACATCCTGTAAAAGTATTCCCTGCAGATGGGAGAAGAAATGCTTTCATTGCCAGATGTAATATTGGCTAATAGGTAGTACCGCTACCAAGGTATTTTAATTTTAACAGAGATCTAAGCTTTAAGATATTCCCCCGCTGAATAAATACTTCTCAAGCAACTACTTCATGCCAGGAAAAAACTGCTCTGAGCTCTGAAAATTCAACAGTTACCAAGTCAGACAAATGACCTGCCTTCAGGGGGCTGACTATATTCCAGTGGCACTCTCACTTACTTATGGAACAAAGCCCATATGGTGGAATTTCAGGCATCCTTTTATGGAAAGAAGACGACTTTGGCAATTTTTTAATGCTTACTGTTTTCCCTAATAGACATTACCACTCCTCCTCCTTGCCTGGTAGCTATCGTATCTCCTCCTGGGTGGGCAACACATGGTTATTTTCAAGGTTGACCTATATTTACCTACTTTTAGGTTTTTCTGCTGCTATGAAATTCAAATGAATCCCACAGGGTCTGTGAAAGTGAGAGGTAGCCAGCCTATGACCGGAGCACTCCATCATCTCAAAGGAGAGCATGTGGAAGGCTTTCCCGTTCACCTACTGACATAATTAAACATTCGAAGCCACACAGATGAAAACCTTCACTTCCATGTCACATCTTCACAGGTGAAAGGAGGATTGCTGATGTTAAGCAACTCTGAGTCATGAAGATCTGGTTGCTTCCATTCTAATAGTAATAAAACACAAGCTATACAGGAGAACAAAATGCCACTTTACATTCTCGTTGTAATCAACAATTCAGCATGAGGGAGACGGATTTTATTGAACTGAAGAGAGATAAATTGAAAGGAGGGAATCAACTTAGTACAGAACCATCTAAAACCTCTAGCTCTAGAAATAAATCTCGTTTTTTTTTTCTTTTTTGCAGAAAGCAAACCCAAAAAGGGTGTAACCTACCCATCAGCTCTTACATACTCATCATCCAAAAGTCCAGCTGCCCAAGCAGGCAAGTGCTCACATGTGATTGAATCTAAACCTTCTGAGTCCATAAACGCGCGATGTGTTTTGGGAGATAGTGGAGAAATTAACATCTTAACCGGTCAAGCTCCACTGGTTCTGGCAATATTTTAACAGATGCCGGGAACATGGGCACAGAAATCAGTGAGATCAGATGGCTGGGGCTGAAGAGTGAAAGCTTTATTTTTTGTTTTTGCACTTCCGAGATTGCGTCTCTATATTTGTGTCATTTTCATTCAGATTGACTGTTGCCTTGAGTTTTATTGTATTGTTACTTTAGAAAATGACATGACATTCTGTCCAGAAATGTTTCCTGGCAGCTAAAAGGAAAAAGGCTGTATCTACTTAGGTATGAAATGAAGAGAAGCAAAGAGAACGAGGTGGTTTATGTGATAACAGCAAGCTGCTAATCCAAATAACCCAGGCCAAAAATACACTGTCTACAGGGCTGTGCCAACTCAGCTTCCATGTGAACCACAAAAGGGGGTATTGGTAGACCTCAGGCCAAAAAATACCATTTTCCAGGTTTCTGTGTTAAATCAAGAACTGTACTATGCATTATTGTGTCTCCAGAGGTGTTCTGATTTCCCACACAAAGAGAAACTGTGAGTCGCTTTATAATGAGGTTTTGCATTGCTTCCAGAAACTTGATAGGCTAGCTAATACATTATGAGCCTGATAGTTCGGGTTCTATTCATGTACTTAAGGTGAACATGGTTTAAGAATAGCAGTAGAACTTAGCACTTATTGAGCATTTGCTGTATGCCAGGCATCATTCCAAGAATTTTACCTGATCATTGCGTTTAATCACCGTAGACCACCTTTGGCCTATACTATTGCTCTGGTTGAGGAAAATGCAACAAGAGAAGTTAAGTAAATTACCCTCCATCAAACAGAAACCCCTCTCTAAACCATCATTCTAGATTTTATTGTTTATTCTTTTTTCTTTTTTCTTTTTTTTTTTTTTTTGAGACGGAGTCTCGCTCTGTTGCCAGGCTGGAGTGCAGTGGCGCGATCTCAGCTCACTGCAACTTCCGCCTCCCAGGTTCAAGCGATTCTCCTACCTCAGCCTCCCGAGTAGCTGTGACTACAGGCGCCCACCACCACACCTGGCTAATATTTGTATTTTTAGTAGAGACAGGGTTTCACCATGTTGGCCAGGATGGTCTCGATCTCTTGACCTCATGATCTGCCCGCCTCGGCCTTCCAAAATGCTGGGATTACAGGCATGAGCCACTGTGCCTGGCCCATTCTAGATTTTTTTATGCTTATAGTATGTATATGGATTCCTGATTTTCCTGATTTGAGGAGCCTTAGTATACAAATAAGAAAAATTTTTTTGGGTCTTTTCTCTTAATTACTGCTCCAGCTCTAACTCTAATGACTTTTTAATGGATCCAGTGGTCTAGTCCTGTTTGTTTAGTTGCAAGGATAGAACTGTTCCCCACCTCCACCCGTGAAGTGGCAGTGGGTCTGGTGCCTCGTGGACCATTTCTGAGATATCGCTTGTCCTCTTTTGACCTGAGCACAAAGACGAAGAATGGGTGACAGGTCTCCTTAAGTGGCTGGCATCTCTGTTGTTTCATCTGACCCTGTGGCTCTGCAGAGCCAGATGCAAGACCGATTCCTGGGTAGGTGATGTGTGTGGATATCAAAGGCAAGGAGACAGTGTTTAGTTTCATCCTGGCACCCTCTTGTTGGGCCAGAAATCTGTGCCCCCACTCCTTTCTCCATAGTAGATACTGATGCCTGGTTCCAGCAGTCCCCTGGGGCAGCCCCTTCACACAGAGCCATGGGAATAGCCAGGCTTCTCTTTGGCCATCTCTGGGGTCTGAGAACTGGGATGGGGTGAGGTCGCCTTCCTTCTGGCATTTTGCTGCATGAACCCTGCTGTCCTGAGCCACTCCCGCTGCACCCCTCCCCCTCTCAGAGATCCCTAGGGCAGAAACAGTCCTCAGGTTCACATAAAGCCCCCAACTTCAGGGACCACATGTCAAGCACCCCTATTTTTACCCTGAGTGGAAGAGCACTTCTAGACTCCCGGAATACACCCCTAAAACTCTGCAAGCTCTGCTGCTGGATTGCACGCCTGTGATGGGTCTGCAGAAAGATTGGTGGGAAATAAGATGCCCACCTGCCCTCCTGGCAGGTCCCCACAATCTTGATGAATGACTCTCTTCAAGCACCTTCATTTGGCTTGGGTATGACAAAGTGTGAAGGAAGGGAGGAAATATCTTCTGACTCTGAACACAGCACTCCCTAAAAGGTGGCTTCTGACCCCTCCCGTTCTTCAGGTCCTTTCCCTCTGTCCCGGCCTGGGATGGGGGTGTCGGGGGTGTTGTGCAGGTTCTACCTGAAAGACCTCACCTGTGGGAAGTTCGTGGCATCTCTCCTCTTCTGGAAAGGGGTACTTGTAGCCAGGCGCAGTGGCTCACACCTGTAATCCCAGCACTTTGGGAGGCTGAGGCGGGCGGATCATGAGGTTAGATGGAGACCATCCTGGCTAACACAGTGAAACCCCATCTCTACTAAAAAGACAGAAAATTAGCCAGGCATGGTGGTGAGCGCCTGTAGTCCCAGCTACTCGGGAGGCTGAGGCAGGAGAATCGCTTGAACCCCGGAGGTGGACGTTGCAGTGAGCCAAGATCGTGCCACTGCACTCCGGCCTGGGTGACAGAGTGAGACTCTGTCTCAAAAAAAAAAAAAAAAAAAGAAAAAAAAAGAAAGGAGTACTCGTGCTCTTCTGGTTTCAGCTTTGGGCCTGTATCTGGAAGCAGGAAGGGCCACATAACCTCCTGTGACTGTAGTCATCTGTCCAGTACTTTCTCTCTGCCACACACCTGCACTACAGTAACCCCGAGGCAGAGTGCCAGTATCTTCCCTTTTCAGATAAGAAAGCTGACCTTGAGAGAGGTTTAGTAACTGACCAAGGCCATAGTTCTAAGCAGCCCAAAAAGTGTGCAAACTCGGTATCACCTTAAAGCTGGGAAAGTAGCAGGGAAAAGAGTGTTGGGAAGAGAAACTATAGCCAAATGATAACTCAGATAATAAAAGTCTACTTGGTCTGTACATTCTCCACAGCAGAGACAATTTCTAAAACTGTCTGTTTACCCCAAGCACCATTCCCCCCCAGCAAGCACTTGTTCCAGATGCCTGAGTCATTGACATCCACAAGGAGTACGGGTGGCCGAGGGTGCTTTCTGTGAAATTTATAAACTAGCAAGAGCCAAGCATTGCTGATGTCACTTGTCCCCTTTACCAAACCATTTAAACTTTTGATGTCAGTATCACTAGACATTACTATCATCTCCTTGTTACTAGATTATCTACGATGGTCAGAGTCTGAAAAATTATTTACTCCTTCATTTTGTTCATTCATTCAATATTTACATTGAGTGAGCATCTCCTATGTGCAAGACCCTGAGCTAAACTACCAGCATTCCAACATAAAAGGGATTCTTGGGAATAGAAGAACCTCACTTTGTAAGGTCTTAATCCCCAAGTCCTAAGTCCTTAGTCTTACTTAGGAGTAAGTTTTCATGAACTCAAAAAATTTCAGTGAGTACAATGAAACGAGTGGTCCCCTTGGTCTTCCTTAAACGACAAAATTCCTTTCGTCATTGTGGGAAGCAGAGAAGATGAAGGGTGAGCAACTGTTGAGGGCTCGGCATGCCCCTATAAAAGGTGCCCCGTCTGTCTGAGAATATGAATTAACAGGTTAATCAGGCCAGGATGACCCCCAAAAGCATGATAACCTTCTACCATGGGAAATTATCCTCCTCAAAAAATAGAAGGCACTTTGATTTGCCCTGTACAACTCACACTGAGAACAGGCATTCCCTGAGATTTAAATGCTGTTTAAAACCACCACCGCGCCCCCACTGCCCTGGCAGTTAGTAACCATTAGGCAGGCAGCTGCTTTCTGGCTAGAGCCTTGAGCTAAATAAAACCAGGTACGTGTTGGTTTGTAGAAGTTTATAAAAGACTAGGAAGGCACATTCCTAGTATCACAGCAAGAGAAGGGAAAGTAAATCTTGGTTAGAGGCTGCTGAAGCTGGCATGGGAAAAACCCCTCTGCCTTCCCTGGCTGTCGGCTGAGTCCCTCACTGTGGTTCACAAATCAGAATTCCACGGCCCACTCTGGGTCCAGTGAGTCAGAATCTCTGCGACCAGGGCCCCGGAACCTGCATTTCAACAGCTCCAGTGTGGTTCTAACGATGAGCCAGGTGTGGGGGAGCTGTGTGGCACCGCCGGCTACGTTTGAGAAGGTGGCTGCCTGGAGCTCTTCCAACCACGCCCAAATGAGGAATATGTGTAGCCTTTAAGGGAAGTTTTGAAATGCTTTCCCATAAAAATCTTTGAAAAAAGATCAACCCTCCTTGTAGCTGAGATTGCACAAAGAAACTATTTTACTAGTTTTCTTCCGAAAGGCTCAAAAAGAACTTGGTTCCATGAAGAATGCACCTTGGATCAAATCAAGAGTATTATGTTCAGTGAGGAATTGGGAGCAATTAGGATAGGAGGAATAATTTTTCTCTATCTTCCCTTTAATATTTATTTATTTATTTATTTATTTATTTATTTATTTATTCATTTTGAGACAGAGTTGCACTCTTGTTGCCTAGGCTGGAGGGCAATGGCACGATCTCGGCTCACCGCAACCTCTGCCTCCCGGGTTCAAGCCATTCTCCTGCCTCAGCCTCTGGAGTAGCTGGGATTACAGGCATGTGCCACCACCTCCGGCTAATTTTCTATTTTTAGTAGAGATGGGGTTTCTCTTGGTCAGGCTGGTCTCAAACTCCTGACCTCAGGTGATCCGCCCACCTTGGCCTCCCAAAGTGCTGGGGTTACAGGCATATATCTTCCCTCTTAAAAGAGACAGTTCTAATCCGTAAAGGAGAGCAGGCAAAAATAACAGCCCACAGAAGCCGGTGGAAGCCCATGACTGTTAGTTGAATTTATGACCACTTGAAAGCATTTGCATTATAAGCAAGTGGTACAAAGACTGCCCTCAGGATCTTGAGCCTTTCTCTAGCAAATCAATTTTAGCAAAGGCAAACTGAGATAGTCAGCAGTCATGGGATTAGCCAATGGTGTGACAAAAAGATAACTCAGATTTTCAATATGTAATAAGTTTTAGGTGGCAAAAAGTGTTCACTATTTGCAAGTAGAAGTTTTATTTTTAGTATGTTGCAACTTCATGACTAATTTACAAGGAAAATAGATTTTTCAGTTTATGTATGTTTCTTTCCGAATTATTAATTACACCCTATTTCATAAAATATACAAGTGGATTTGTTAAATGGCTTTTCCCTAGATGAAGTAGGTCAAACCTGGGCCTGCATCTCCCTAAAGAGGCGTTAATGCCTGGTAGCATTTACCAGAGGGTAAGACAGAGAAGTACTTTGGAGAAATTAGAAACTTCCCTAGTACTTGTTATGAAAGCTCAAACTCTTTAAAATAATGGAAATGTCATAAATCAGGCAGATTCAGCTTTGCCTGAGGATGGCTTGAAGGAGGATGCTGCCAGCTCTTTGGTGATTTGTCTGGCACAAGCTACGGGCAGATTTAAAGGTGACCAACTTAGCAAGAAACAAGGCAATTGAAAGATCGGCTTCCTACCTTGACCAGCTAATGCCTGCAAGAGCAGACTGAATGGCTGAATTCCAACCTGATTCCAGGACTACCATTTGCTGACCTGCTCTCTTAGGTCAGTGCTGTGATTCCTGCAGAAGACGGCAGAGTCAGGGTGGGGAAATGAGCAGGTGCTGGTGCTGGCGATGGGTCTAAACACCCCACCACACATTTGTCTGCGCCACTTGTCCAGGACTATGATTTTGGTACTATTTTCCTGGGTGTTGTACAATGTCAAAGGGGAAGGTGGATGGTTCCCACGGAGACAGAAGCACCTTCTTATTTCAGATGTTATCTCCTTGTTCTGCTGTGCTGTGTAACAAAAATGTATCAACCCTAAGCAGAGTTAAGGACAGAGCTAGGATGCTGTGGTAAGCTGAAAAACGCCCTTGAAAAGATATCCATGTCCTAATCCCTGGAACCATTGAATGTTTCCTTTTATAGAAAAAATGTGGGGAGGCTTTGCTACTGTGATTAAATTAAGGATCCTGAGATGGTGGTGGGGTGGTTATTCTGGATTCCCCAGGTGGGCTCTAAATGCAATCACTGGCATCTTTGTAAAAGGAAGGCAGAGGGAGATTATTTCACATCCATAGAGGAGGAGGTTGTATTAGTTCGTTCTCACACTGCTATGAAGACACTATCCAAGACTGGGTAATTTACAAACAAAGCAGGTTCAGTTTGCTCAGAGTTCCACATGGCTGAGGAAGCCTCAGGAAACGTACAATCATGGCAGAAGGGGAAGCAGATATGTCTTACATGGCAGCAGGCGAGAGAGAGAGAGAGAGAGAGAGAGAGAGAGAGAGAGAGAGAGAGAAACTGCCTTATAAAACCATCAGAGCTTGTGAGAACTCACTATCACGAAAACGGCATGAGGGACACTGCCCCCACGATCCAATCACCTCCCACCTCGTCCCTCCCTTGACAGGTGGGGATTACGGGGATTACAATTTGAGATGAAATTTGGGTAGGGACACAGAACCAAACCATATCAGATGTCATGTGAAGACGGAGCAGAGAAACAACTGAGGATGCTGGCCTTGAAAACTAAAGTGGCATGACCACAAGCCAAGGAATGCCAGCAGTCAGCAGAAACCAGAAGAGGCAAGACACAGAGTCTACCCTACAGCCTCCTGAGAAAGCTCAGTGTTGCTGACACCTTGAGTTTGACCCAGTGATGCTGATGTCTGACTTGGGCCTCCAGAACTGGAGAATAAATTTCTGTCATTTTAAGCCACCCAGTTTGTGGTAGTTTGTTACAGCAGCCCTAGCAGCTGATACAGGTGCACAGGGACAGAAGCTGGCATGCCCCAATGGGGCCCTGCAGGCACAAGCAACAGTGGGTTGTTCCTTCCCAGGACTGAGGAGCTGTTTACTTTGGGGGCCATCGTGTGTCTCCCTGAGAACCCCCAGTTCTCAAGACAAACTCCAGTGCCCAGTGGGTAGCCACTTGTCCCCTTGCTCTAAACCTTCAGAGATATTCTCAGAGCACTAACAAATTGAGACTTGCTTTATAGGGAGCCAACTACAGAGGTGTTTAAAAGGAGAGAAGCAATCTAAATCATCACACATGGATGAAGAGCACCATTTAAAAGTAGAATCTAGGCCGAGCACAGTGGCTTGCACCTGTAATCCCAGAGCTTTGGGAGGCTGAGACAGAAGAATTGTTTGAGGCCAGGGGTTCAAGACCAGTCTAGGCAACACAGGAAGATACTTTCTCTACAAAAAAAACAAAAACAAAAACATTAAAAATTAGCCAGGTATGGTGGCTTGCATCTGTAGTGCCAGCTACTTGGGAGGTTAGATGGAGGATCACTGTACCCCAGAAGTTCGAGGCTGCAGTGAGCTATGATTGTGCCACTGCACTCCAGCCTGGGTGACAGAGCAAGATTCTGTCTCAAAAAAGAAAAAAAAAATGTAGAATCTGGATGGTCCTTACCATCCAGTTAATTCTGTTATCCTATTTCACAGACAAGGAAAAACTGGGGCCCAGAGGAGTTGACTAGTCATGAACCAACCTAAATTAGAACATCTAGAATGTATTCTCTGACTAAGTCATAGTGAAAGCCCCAAATGTACCTTCTGTCTTCTATTCCAAGGCCAATGCTAACCAAAACAGCAAAAAACAAAAACAAAAAAATATGTACATAAACCATTGCTAGTGGCGCCAGGCAAATTAATTCAGCAATTAATCATGTTCTGCCTCGTCTATGTTCTATGTTGCTATAGTTTTGACCTGTCATTCATTTTATTGCTATTGAATCTTTGGTTGATCGAGTGATTGCTCTGAGGGCATACATTCTTTCAGGCAAGAATGTGGCTGTCACCTGGGTTTCACACTTCACCGTGGCTAGCACAGCTCTGTGCTCATAGCTAGTGTTCAGTCAACATTTATTTTATTTCTAGGTCTATAAGAGCCTACAGGTTATTTTGTAGGCCTGGTATAATTCCATTTTCTTGCAGGTGAGACCACAAAAGCCTATCAGAGGCCACCCATTCCAGTGACAACTGCACAGCCGGTCACTCTGATGCAGCTTCTGGCTGTCACTGTAGCTGTGGCCACCCCCACCATCTTGCCAAGGCCATCCCCTTCTGCTGCTTCTACCACCAGCATCCGCAGACCAGAGCCTGTGGGCCACAGGAGCCAGGAGACGGGTCAGTAGGTAGACCACGTGTTACTTTGTGCAAGGGAAATGGGAAATTGGGCTTTTAGAGTAACAGCTCTGTCTGAGCATCTGTTGGGCTGGGTGAATGGGGAGCACTGGAGAACTGGGCCAGGGGTATGTGATTGTGTCCTCCTCCTAGATTCAAGGGAGGATATAGATTCAAAAATAGGACTGCTGTCACCACGCTTCTGAAGATAGAATACTTTCCCGTTGCAAAATCCTCATTTCTCCAAAAGCTCAGTTGAAGGGATGGTAGATTTCTATGTAAACATTGTTGGGGTTTTTTTTGTTGTTGTTATTGGTTTTTAAGTGACAAATGGTATAGACTTGGAAGTCTTCAAATATTAAAAGCAAACAAAACCAAAGGAATCCCTTTAGGAAAAGTCAGATAGCTAACATTTTTATTCCTTTTCTAATGGCTTTTTGTCTTACTACTTTTACCCATTGCTCAAATCATGCTGAAGTTTTTATCAAGGTCCAGTTTATGGACTTCATCTCATACTACATCAAATGGGGCCTAAAGAGCCCATCTGATCATCTGATCTCATTTCTGCACAGACTTATATCTACACCATCGTAGGTTAATAAGCATCTATCTCACTTCTAGAACTTTTCTAGCAAGGGGGTGAAAACTTCTGCAGCTGGAGCTCCACTATTGTCCTAGCAATGTTTTCTGAATATTTCCCACCTGGTGCCACTTTTTCCTTCCAGGAGGAAGTGCTTAGGACTCGTTCTTTTCAGGCTCACCTCCAGCTTCCAGTCACTACTGCCACAGAGAATGACCCTTCCCCCTTCCTGCTCCCAAAGCAGAGGCCAGCTACTTACCCATCCATCTTTTTATTTTAAAAATGCAAATCAGGCTGGGCACAGTGGCTTACGCCTGTAATCCCAGCACTTTGGGAGGCTGAGGCAGGCAGATCACTTGAGGCCTGGAGTTCAAGACCAGCCTGGCTAACATGGTGAAACCCCATCTCTACTAAAAATGCAAATATTAGCCAGGTGTGGTGGCACATACCTATAGTCCCAGCTACTTGGGAGGCTGAGGCTGGAGAGTCGCTTGAACCTGGGAGGCGGAGGTTGCAGTGCGCTGAGATCGCACCACTGCACTCCACCCTGGGTGACAGAGAGAGACTCCGTTTCAATAAATAAATCAATGAAAATGCAAATCAGCACTTTGAATGTGCTAGACCGTTTTCTGAACACCTTACAAATATTAGCCTGTTGAATCCTCCATAACAACCCTGTGAAGTAGATTTATGACTTCCAATTTGAATAATCCATTGTATTGATGAGGAAACCAAGGAGTAAGGCAGTGAGGAAACTGGTTTCAGCCTATACAGCTGGGAAGTGGCAGAGCTGGAATTCAAACTCCAACAGCCTGGCTCTCCTTTTCCTTGCACGGGAGCATTCCTGCCAAAAATGAACACCCCAGGCCCAGGCAGAGCACATCTTGGCATGATTGCTGTGACAAAATTAGAAGGTGCTCAGCACAGCCAACTTCTTCTTGAATTAATAATAAATAACAGAATCCATGTAGTACATATATTGCATGTACCAGACATACTGCATGCATTATCTTATTTAATCTTCTCAATAACTTTTTGAAGTAGGAGTTATTATTATGCCATTTTATGGACAACTCATTGAAGAAGCTATGATATAAAGTCCCAAAGTAAGAATACCGCAAAAAGAATTTTTGAACTTCTGAAATATATCAAACACTCCTCCACCATTCTGTTCCTGTTTAACTCAGGATAATATTAACACAGGTGCACAATACTTGATAGCAAAAGAGAAACAGGAAGGACGCTGGATGGAAGGGTTAACAGGGGTTCTGTAGCCAGAAGTTCTCCTTTCTAAAATTTCAGGCTCTTGACTTCAGATGCCTTGATTCTTTCAAAGATTTTTGAGTATCTGAGTAAATTGTTTGCTCCTGTTTTCTCCTTAGAGGACTTTAAATTCTTACATAACACATATAACTAAACATGTGGTGTATTTATTTGGCTACGCTGGGAGCTTGGAAATCTGTTGCAAGTTGGGCTCTGCTTGTGGAAAACCTAAGAAACTTGAAGTAGTGGCTCCTAACCTGGCAAAGCTTCATTATTCCTGGCTTGGGGACAGGAGCTTTGGACAACAGCCTCCTGGTCCATCAGTGTTCCTTCTTCATCCTTGTCCAGCGCCCACTTCCATGCTGACCCACAGACTGCTAGACCAACATTTGGAGAAAGCAGGCCATGCAGCGTGTACCACAATTGCTAGGATAGGAGCCAAACCGGGGAAGGGGGAGAGCTTTTTAAAAGTTGTATTGTCTACTCAAAGGAGTTTCTGAAGGCCTAAAAAGAAGTGAAAATTATTATTTAATTGCTTATGTCTTTTTAAAATAAAAGTATTCATGAGATACTTTCCAGAAACCATACAATTCACTCATTTAAAGTACAATTCAATGGTTTGTCGTATAATCATAGGGTTGTGTGACCATCACCACCATCAATTCTAGAACATTTTCATCCCCCCAAAAGAAATCCTGTGCCCATAAACAGTTACTCTTCATTTCCCCTAACCACTCCTCTCCAGCACTAAGTAACCAATTGACTTTCATGAATGCCTATCTTAATGTATGGCTATAGATATTTGCTGTGATATTTCAGCCCAACTATATTAAACAATATTTAGATAACTCATGTTTTTCCTTCAAATGGGCTGAAAATTAGAAAGCAAATCTCCTCATACTGTGATAGACAAGTGAGTTGTTGTTGTTGCACTTATTAAAGATTTTTCCTCTTATATATGTGACTATCGGCGCAAGGTTGTAGAACTGGTTGTGGACAGGGTGTTCAAGCAAAACCTAATTCACTTATTCATTCAACAAATGTTTTATTGAATGCCCACTATGTGTTAGGTACTGTTCTAAATCTGGGCTACATCAGTGAACACATCCCATCGAGATCCCTGCAGCAAGTCACTTCAGCTTAGGACACCTGAAGAGTATGTAGCCAAAACAGGAGCTACCTGCGTTTGGGGTCTGTGACTCATTTGTATTCCACAATGGGATCAAGATCTGCCTCTAAGACAGGACATGGGAACTTGGAGAGGGCTCAAGGGAGAGTGGAAAGTACAGCAGGAAGAGACAGGGGCTCTCCCAGCCCATGCAGAGGAGCTGATGCAGATGGAAGGTGGGGCTGTTCACCAAGCCCGCATCGTGGCCCCTTAACTGACCCATGAATGTGCAAACCAACAAGACAGAAGGGAGTGAGTCAAGGCTGGGGGTAAGGAAGCCAAAAGCCAGAGCAATAGAGACTTCTTACAGGTGCAGTAAGGAGGCTGTTCTTCATGGGCAAGGCCAAGGACAATGGCATCCCCGGGGACAGAGGGGGAAGCTGGGAGAGCCAGATCTCTAGATATGCTTAGGAAAGAGTGCTGGAAAAGACAGAAAATCCCTCCAGGTTCAGCTATAGGTCTGGCTGAATCTACCACAGGCTAAGGAGGTGGAGTGGCTGTGCCTTCCATTGTTTCCTTAATCAAGTTCATTTCAAGACATGCCATGGTTGCCTCAGCTGAGCTAGCACTGAACTTGTCCACAACCAAGGGTAGACCAGGGAGGGGAGAAGAGCGCCGCCTAGTGGCAAGGAATAGCGATGACTGTGATCCTTCACTTTTCTACCCTGGGCTCCACCTTCTGACCAAGGGCCGCTAAGGGGGAGAAAGTGAAATTTGAGGCAGGAAGAGAGGCCAGCACATCTATCACTGCCCATTCCTTCCACATACAGTTTCCCTTACCAACACTTATCTCACCAGTGAACGCTTATCTTCCTTAAGGTATCTGGAGAAGGCTTTTCTTAAAATCCAGTCTTACAAATAGTAAGAAAAAGACAAATATTCCAAAAGAAAGATGAGGAAAGGTCATAACCAGGCAAGCCACAGTAGAACAACTACAAATGGCCAATAAAAAAATTGTTATAAAGATGTTCGGCTTTGCTGGGCCCGGTGACTCACGCCTGAATCCCAGGACTTTGGGAGGCCGAGGTGGGCGGATCACGAGGTCAGGAGTTCAAGACCAGCCTCGGCAACAGACCAAGACCCCTGTCTCTACAAAAATTTAAAAAAAAACAAAACAAAACAAAAAAAAACTTTGGTGGCTCACACCTGTAATCTCAACACTTTGGGAGGCGAAGGCAGGCAGATCACCTGAGGTCGGAAGTTCAAGACCAGCCTGACTGACATGGAGAAAACCCATCTGTACTAAAAATACAAAATTAGCTGGGCATTGTGGCACATGCTTGTGATCCCAGCTACTCAGGAGGCTGAGGCAGGAGAATCACTTGAACCTGGGAGGGAGAGGTTGTGGGGAGCTGAGATCGTGCCATTGCACTCCAGCCTGGGCAACAAGAGCAAAACTCTGTCTCAAAAACAAAAAACAAAACAAAACAAAAACATAGCGAAGCATGGCGATGTGCACTTGTAGTCTCAGCTACTCAGGAGGCTGAGGCAGGAGGATCACTTGAGCCCAGGAGTTCAAGGCTGCAGTGAGCTATGATCACACCACTGTACCCCAGCCTGCGGGACAGAGTGAGAGCCTGACTGAAAGTAAAAAACAAACAAAAACCTACTTTGAGTTTGTGTCAGATAATTGGAACAAAGACAAAAAGAGTCAAAAGCTGATTTTGGATAGATCAGGTTCTAAGACAAATTGATAGTTTTTTCCATGCCCTCTTGCTCTTCCACTCCTTGACATCTGGTTTTTTCCCTCAGCTGGGTTTTATGTGCCTCTCTTCCCCCTCCAAAGGCTTTGCATTTCTCTTAACAGAATGCTTTATCTCCCTTCTCCCTTTTAAAACCTTGCTTTAGAGAAATTGCTCAATAAATAATGAATGTGGAAGTGTGTTTCCTTCACTCACAGAGTAATTAAGGATAACCCATTGTGTACCTCTAAAAATGACGGAAAGCTAATGCTATTTGCATCAATACAATGTTAACGCAGCTTCAGCAAATTGCTGAATGTTAAGTGACATTTCCATTGAAGGATTGCTTCAACCTCCCCACGAGTGGCACAGTTGAGAATTATTGTAAGAATAATGAAGTGTAAAGAAATATGGCATTTGACTAAAAGATACTTTGATAGTTGTGAAATACAAAGTTTATTTTTGCCTGTAGTTTGTAGTTCGTGTTTTAAGTTAAATACTGTTTTTTTTCTTTGTCTTTTTTTCTATTTGAATTCCTCTTCCAAGACAGGTTCAGACTGCCAAAATATAGAGCTTCACCTTGTTTCCGACCTTGGTAATGTCTTGCTAGGTTAGATCATGGAAAGAATGAGAACAGTTAGGTTAAAATTTATTGGCCGGGCGCAGTGGCTCATGCCTTGGGAGGCTGAGGCAGGCAGATCACTCAAGGTCAGGAGTTCAAGACCAGCCTGGCCAACATGGTAAAACTCCATCTCTACTAAAAATACAAAACATTAGTCGAGCCTGGTGGTATGCACCTGTAATCCCAGCTACTCAGGAGGCTGAGGTGGGAGAATCGCTTGAACCCGGAGGTTGTAGTGAGCTAAGATCGTGCTGCTGCACCCCAGCTCTGGGCATACAGCGAGACTGACTCAAAAATAAGTTCATTAATTAAAATAAAATAAAATTCATGCTCTGACCAGTCAAATGTTCTTACAGATCTCTGGTCCACTACCACCTACACAAGCAGCCAAAACAGGCCTGGAGCCGATCCAGGTAAGACCCTAAACTCCCTTTCTAGCCACTGATGAAAGTTAAGCTTGTTTACATGGGGTTCCTCTCCACATCTGTGCCATTTAATTTAGATTTGGACAAGGACTATTAAACCACTTAGGTCAACAGAAGATACAGCTCAAGGGTCCAAATTATAAGAAAACATGTAAGGAAGTGGTTAAGTAAGCAAAGGCCTGACCCTCTCTCCGTTCCCTTGAGGTGATTCTGTAGAGGTTGTGAAAGGAATGTCTCAGGATTCAGCAACTAGGCTCTTACAGACCTGCAAAGGGACACTCTCTGGGACTTATTTTTGAGGAACTACGGTAAAACACTGAGGGAAATTTGTATCATCTCCCAGGCAAGAGCCTTTTTTATCTCTTTTTTGCCTGAGTAATTCTATGCCACTGGGGATAGAAATATATTCTCTCCCACCCACCTCCACCCCGGAGTTCACCTATGAATTCTGAAATGCCCCTGGCTGTCTTCATTTCTGTATGCCCCTTAATGGTTTGGCTGCAGAACTAGGAATCCAGCAAATTCTCTTCTCTGCAGCACTGTAAAGGCCTGCAGAGATTAGAAAGGAAAATCTAGCAGGGTTTGATGGTTTCCACAAACTCTCCTCACGGCCCAGTCTATGAGCTGATACACTTGGTGGAAGTATACTATTCCCTCTGAAGCCACAGGGCACTAGGACCAGAAAGACCTACAATCGGGGGGTGTTCAGGTCTTTCCCCTGCTGGGGGATACTCTCCACATGTTCTTAGAAACTGTAGGTTCTGTTTTGCTTGCTACTGGACAGGAACAAGGGCCCCATGGGCTCCTCTGGTCAGGGCGAGCAACTTCTATGAGCTTCACAATTGCACCTTTGCCAATGCCCATGCTGTTTTCCTGGACAAAAAGGCTTGAGAATCAGAACACTGGCCAGGGCAAGGACTCCAAGGCCATCTCAGGCCTCTACAGACTCGTGGGACTCTTCAGGAGGCGAAGTCATGGGGCACTGTTTCCTCCTGTCCCCTTGGCCAAGATTTTTGCCTCCTCTGCAACCCCCAAAAGTACAGCCAGGCACAGAGAGCTCGGCTGACTTCCAAGGAAACTCTGAACTAAGGTAATTTTCACCGGGGGGCAAAATAAGGAAAGAAAGCAGCCTGTGTAATTCCCTCAGGTATCCAAAGGCAAGATCCTTCAGGAGCTGCCTTCGAGAAACCTGTTAGAGCGGATGTCAGCCTGGGTAAGTTGCCCACTGCTTACCATCCCTGCTCCCTGCGAATTTGCTCTGTGGCACTTTGCAAACATGAGGACTTCCCCCATACACTTGCTCTTGGCCTCTGCAGCTCAACTTCAGGTCACCAGACTCTGGGGGCATGCTAATATTTAACCTCGAGAAAATGTCTCTTTGATTGATCGGTTCTCAGTGCGTCAAAGAGAAGATCTTTGTCAACAAAGACACCCAAGGGCTGTCATTACTTTGTGTCCCCTCAAGAGATCCCCCCACTAAGCAGTCTCTGCACCACTCTGCATCTACCAGGACCATCCTCAGACTGGCCTCCAGGATAAAGCGCGAATACCCAAACAGCACGTGGTTGGGATATGGCATGGGGGACGGCTGGCAAGGAGGCACATTACCTGATTTGCATCTTCGATTTTTTACTACCTGACAATGTTGGGTTTGTTTCAAGGCTATATTCTGCCGAATGCGGTTGGCCTCATTCCCTTTTTCTGAGTTTACCGTCCTCCAGTTCTACAGCTCTGGGATTCTCTGTTTCTCCTCCATTCTCCTTTATGCTCCCAATAATGCCACTCTGTCTCGACCCACACAGATGTTCCCAGCTTCCTTTGTACCTTCAAATCCTACCCAATTTCTGCTGCTTCTCTCTTCACCATCATCCCGGCAACTTGGCTCTGAGTGCCTCAGAGCCTCCCGTGAACTCTCGGAGTGTTCCTGACTTAAAGGACTCCCCCAGCACCCTCTAGGTGCTCAGACCTAGACTAGTTAGGAAGCCCCATTACGGCTCCTGCAGGGGGAGGAAGCCATTTGCACACCCTGAGTAAAGGCATGTAGGAACATTTGGAGTTCTTAGTTAGATATCCTTCGACCAGCTCTCATCTCAGATGCAGTCATGTATACAAGGCAAGCTGCCCAGTTCCTCAGCTATAAAATTGTCAGATTATGGAATTGGAAAGAATTGTATAAAGTACATCTGGTCTAACTTCTCACCTAAAAATGAATCACTTATGGTGTGCCAGACAGAGGCCTTTACCCTATACTTCACGTAGTAGGGAATTCCCAGCCCCTTCATTTGGTGGGTGAAACTGTTAGACGTAACTATCCAGAACTTCAGTTCCTCGTTACTAATTTGTCTAAGGCAGTGGTTCTCAAAGTGTGGTCCAAAGACCCTGCTTTCAGAGATTCTGTGACATCTTCCCTTCTCTGACTAATGTCATTGTGAGGACAGATTTTCTCCACATATTTCAACAAAAACAACATATCACAACTGACTGCAGGAGCTGATAAGAGACTCCAGCTGTCTTCTCTTATGATAGACATTGGAGACATTTGCCACTCTTCTCACCGAACCCTTGGTTTTAGAAAACAGTTGTTTTTCAGCAAAAATTAACACTTACGTTAAAATATAATAATTCTATTGTCACTTTGAAGTAAATTAATAGTTAGGCAGGGTGCGGTGGTTCACGCCTGTAATCCCAGCACTTTGGGAGGCCAAGGCGGGTGGATTATTTGAGGTCAAGAGTTCGAGACTAGTTTGGTCCACATGGTGAGACCCCACCTCTACTAAAAATACAAAAATTAGCCAGTGGTGTGCACCTGTAATCCCAGTTAGTTGGGAGGCTGAGGCAGGAGAATTACTTAAACCTGGGAGGCAGAGGATGCAGTAAGCTGAGATGGCACCACTGCACTCCAGCCTAGGCCAGAGGGAGACTCCGCCTCAAAAAAAATAAAATGAAATAATAAAATAAAATAAGTGAAAATAAAGCAAATTAATAGTTGAATAAATTGCCAGTTAGTATTCCATTTCAAATGAGAAAATGCATAGTTGTAATTTCTAAATGATAAAAATTAATAGATATAACTCATACAAACTAAAGGTCTTTGGGGTCTTTGACAATTTTTTAAAGCATGAAAAGGCTGAGAACCTTTGAGAGTGTCTCGAATTAGAGGGCCTTTCAAATACATGAAGCTAGACTTCATGTCTTTTTTAATATCTCATCTTTTCCAGGATATTTCTTTAATCCCTCCAATAGGTCTTTCCATGACTTGGCAGTACACCCTCTAACTATGCTATAGACTATTAATAATTCATACACCAGGGCACCCCAAACACAATGTGGCCTGGGTAGTGTGCCAGGCAATTGCCTCTGTAGTCCTAAATACTCTGCTTCCACTAAAACATCCCAAGTTCCATTTGGAGTAAGCCTTGTCTCACCATTGGCTCATCTCCTACTGAGCTTGCAATACCTAAAGCCCAGGCTGGAGGGCAGTGGCACAATCTCGGCTCACTGCAAGCTCCACCTCCCAGGTTCACGCCATTCTCCTGCCTCAGCCTCCCAAGTAGCTGGGACTACAGGCACCCACCACCATGCCCGGCTAATTTTTTTTATATTTGGTAGAGATGGGGTTTCACCGTGTTAGCCAGGATGGTCTCGATCTCCTGACCTCGTGATCAGGACTTTTTATCATATACCTATGTAGAAACAGATCACCTCAATCCTGCCTAGGTACAATCGAGTTTTTGAAGCCCACATTGGAAAAATCACCTATCTCTATTAAATCCGTCCTTCGTTTAGTCGGCTACAATCTTCCTGAGTATTAATTCTGTCATTTACTGTGTTAACATCCTTGTAATCTTTGTGTCATCTGAAAAATGGATAAACATGCCACCTGTCTCCATTCCCGTTACTGATAAAAATATATCATGTGGGGCAACCGAATCCTGCGGTCTGCACTAAACACCTCCTTTGTGTTTAGATCAACCCAGACACAAGCAGCTACATGTGGACCTGATGATGTTGTCGTCCTCCTTTCTACAGGACAGCAGGTGTACGACCCATGAGTGATGCCTGCCACCCTCTCCCACGGTGCCTTCAGCCACAGATAGAAATTCATGTACCCCTCCTCCTGCATTTAAGCTGAAGCTCTCAGGAAGGGGACCTGTTATTTAATTTTTAAAAATATTTATTGAGCATACTATATGTCAGATACTATGCTGTGCATTAGAACTGCAAACATGAATCAAATATTTTCAAATTCTAGAATTACGCTGCTAGGGCTTTTGCCTTCACAGGTCCCACACTCTCCCGCTTCAGAGTCATCAGTAATGCCACTGCCTCGTAAGCACTGTGTCTCCCACTGCCAGCCCTTACCCCTCCTACCAGCGTTCTGGGAGTTGGGGCAGTCTACTCCTGCTGTATAGAGGAGGTGGGCGTGATGGGCTCCTGATAATTCAAGTTAAAACCCGGTGGCTTTTCCTCGGAACCATCCTTATGCTGGTTGGCTTCGTACCATGAGCTATGTTTGAGTCAAAGAAGCTTCACTGGTCTGGAAACCTAACAATGGAGTTAATGTTGTTTCCAAGAGAAAAGGCTGCCAGGTCTCCCAAAAAATACCCCACACCGAGCGTTGGATGGTAGCCCATTTATAAACCTGGGACTGTCGATGCTTCATTGACATGATGGCTTACGCCCAGGACCCCAGACTGTCCTCAGCCTTCTCTGAGAGTCCTTGTGCGATGTGCTACCAGCATGGCAACACCCTGGGCACAGCTGCAACACCCCACCCTCTGAGTGCTCCCCACTTCAGTACAGCAAGAGTCTGCTCTCCAGCGAACATGCAGCTCTTGGGACATGAAGCCAGGTGAAGAGAAGGGAAGCCTAGAGATTCTGCTGGTCCAGATGCCTGCTGCCTTTCAGAGCCACTTCCTCCTGAAAACTACACCCCAGGGGAGTCACTGGGAAGAAACCAGGGAGCTGAAGGGCCACTTGGGCTTCTGTCTTATAAAATTTGAGAGCCCGAAGGGCCATGTTTGCAGCCTCTGCTTGGGTCCTGTGTTGGTGACTTCTAGATGTACAGGGAACAGAAGGAGCTGGAACCAGCACCAAGATTATACCACAGTCTTAGGAGCAGGGATGGTTCTGGGCCCTTTTGAAGACTTGACTACATTAGCATGAGTTGCAGGTGGCTGGGCCAGGCCCAGCTCTTCGGTGGCCTAACCAAGTACTCTGAGATGCTGAAGCGATGATGACCCCTCCTCGTGTGTGATAAACAGACGGTGGTTAAGGGTAGGCTTTGGAGCCTGCCTGCCTGGGCTTAAAGTTCTGTTCTGCCGCTCCCTGTGTGTGAGTGTCCTCACCTGTAAAATGAGATCATAGCTGCAACTAAGTCACTGGATGATTGTGACTTAACAAATAGAAAGTGCTCAGTCAATGCCTGACACTAAGCAAGCTCTCCATAAACACCAATGGCTTCTACATTTTTACGCCAGAAATCATTCAGAACCAATATACCTTTTTTTTCTTTAAATTTCCAACTTGCATCCGAAGTTCAGGGGTACATGTGCCAAATGTGCAGGTTTATTACGTAAGTAAATGTGTGCCATGGTGGTTTGCTATACAGATCATCCCATCACCTAGGTATTAAACCCAGTATCCATTAGTTATTCTTCCTGATGCTCTCCCTCCTCCTACCTCCCAACACTCCAACAGGCCCCAGCATGTGCTATTCCCCACCATGTGTCCATGTGTTCTCATCATTCAGCTCCCACTTGTAAGTGAGAACGTGCAGTATTAGAACCAACACTCCTTTTAGACATGACTGTATCGATGAGATGACCAAGCAAGAATTGTCACAAAAACACAAAAATAATTCCCTGGTTTTCTAAGAGTGATTTACACTTTTCAAAGTGATTTTATACACATTTACCACCTTCGAGTCTCCTCCATGTGACAGTGCCGGGAAAGTCTTTATGACAGCCCTACACTGGAAAAAACTGGAGGCGAACCGGAAAGAAGTGAGCTCCCCAGGCTCCCAGTTGGTCTTTGGCAGACCCAGGATGGGCTTCTGACGTCTTTTTTCTTGATACCACCCTGTTCCTCCTTGACGCCAGAATACAAATGTTCTCACAAATTTACTTCTCATTACTACTGAGTCCAAAAAACACCAAGTCTCAGCTGTCCAAATATTTTTCAGCCTTTGGCTTTTGGATGAATGTAATTTGGTTCAAACTTGTCCCAAACTAACTGAAAGTGGCGTTAATATAAGGCCAGGCTTCTAAGACAGGAGCAAGAGGCTTAGAAATCCCTGATGCTGGGGGACTGTTTATCTCCTGATAAAGTGGTAGAGCACCCAGCATCCTAATCTTCCTGACATTCAAGAGTGCATCGGAAAAAGGAAAAAGCAAGCAAGCAAACCTTGAGCAAAAACTGAGAGAAGCCTGCAGCGCATTTTTTTAGGAAAAGGGTAAAGTGCATATTTTCACCAGTAGGTGGCAATAAAGTAATAAGGCTAAAGAAGCAGAATGTTCTTGATCAGAATGTTTAAGCATGTCATAAATATTTTGAATGTGGAGACTATCCTGCCCAATCTGCTTATATTACTTACAAAGAAACTAAGGCTCACAAAGGGTTTGTGATTAGCTCAAGGTCACACACCTGGTTAATGACTGAACTAGATTAAACTCAGGTCTCACCATGAAACCAGAATGTGCAAGAACAGATTGCCTTTCAAAACTGCCTGGTATCTTCATCACGTAAAGAAAAATATCACCTTTTTTCAATGTGTTAGTAATTTCAGCTGGCAGAAAAGCTGATAGCCTTTAAGAAATAAAAAGCTGATCATGCTCTCAACTTTCTGATCTAAGAGAGAAGGAGGAGGGATGGAGGGAAGGAGGGAGGAAGGGAGGGGAGACATGGAAAAGAGGGGAAAGGAGGGAGAGAGGCAGAAAGAAAGAGAAACCGCCATTTTTGTGTTATAAGGCTTCCTGACACATTTGTGCTGCCTGTGAGCCCCTCTCAGCCATGATTTTCCAAAAAAGATCAGAGATTATTGGGTAAGACTCTTCCCCTCCCCTCCACCCCTTCTACTTCATCAGCACCAGTTTGTGATGAAGGCCATTAAACATCTTACTGCATATAGGTCTAGGTGCTACTTTCCTTTATTCTGTTTGAGTCACACACCGAGAAGCAGAATCTTGGGAAATAAGCGGATTGCCTATTCCCTGAAAGGGCCATATTTGTTCTGATTAGTTCCAAGGGAATTCAAACAGGTGGGACAAATGTACATAGAACGATATTAGCACATAGTGAGTGCTTAATAAGTGTGGACGTATGAATAGATGGGAAAGGATTTAGGACAAAAGATTCAGTCTCAATAGTGCAAGAAGGAATCTACTACTTTGGTTGAATATGTAGTGAATCCCCTCTCTCTGGAGGTATTCAAGCACTAGCCAGCCACTCGCAGGCCAGGGATGTTGTAAAAACAGGTTGGGAGATGGTTTGGAATGGATGAACTTTTAGTTCCTTTTGAATCCGAGGATTCCCATTATTCCAAGATTCTTGGTGCATAATGAAAAAGAAACTGGTAAAGATGTTTATGACTTTGACCTTAAGAGCTTCAGATTTTAAAAAATCATACAGATTTCAGGTTGCTTCATCCAAAATTCTGGCCCTCTGTTCCTTTAACTTTCGGACACAATTGGGAAACCTTATCATCCCGGCAATTCACTCGAGAGTTTCTACTGGTTTGGTTTAAGTAACAAGTTTTGTTTCTTTTCAATTTTGAAAATCAGGAGAGATGGACTCATGGAAACCTGGATCAGTCCTTTTAGATGAAGGTAATTATACAGCCCAACCTCTCAGTCACGCCTGGATCAACATGCATAGGATAACAGAACTAAGAGTCTAATAATCCAGCTGGCAGAGTGACTGAGCTCCCCTAGCCTAGGATTTCTAATGGCTCCCGCCTCTGACTTAAGGGTCCTGCAAAGGGCACACTGAAACTCCCTCCCTAGGGAGGCCTGGGGTAAGGAGCAATACTGGATAACAAAAGGGAGAGAGGAAACGTGAAGACAAAAAGCCAGAAGGGAGCTAGTTTCCCACTCTCAAAATGGGTTTGGATCCTCACTCCATCTGGCAGCACACTTTAACTTCCTCCAACTCCACTTCCTCCTTTGCAAAATGGCTTTCAGGTTTTCCCTTCACAAGAATGGGTGTTGTTCGCTGCCTACTGCATTCGAAACTCCAACAAACAAGACCTTCCAGCTCTTCGTGGGAGGGAAGACTGTACTGGTAGGGGAAGAAGGAGGTGAAGGAGAGGACTCCGCCTCTGGACTTGTACTTCTCCCCTTCCTCCAACGCAGAGCGTTGGGGCGTTTCCACGACAGGCTCCTGGCTGAGAAATACTGTTAGACACCCAAAGTGAATGTTTAAAATGATGTGAGGAAGTGAGATGAGCTAGCTGACCTTTAATGGAAGGATGAAATCATGTGCTTTGCAAACTGGAAAAAATAACAAGCTAGTAGAAAGCTCACTGCAGCCAAGCGCGAGCAATGACCCCCGCATCTTCCTCCACCCCCGGGGAATCCCGGAACTTCCGGGCATCCTAAAAATGGGGAGACTCAACTCTGGTGCTGCAAGCGCGCTCTTCCATTTGTCTTACCAAGCCTGAAAGGATTCGCTTTTCTTGTCTTTATTTCTTTAAATGGTATATTTATGAACTTGGCTCACATGTAAATGGCTCTGAAGAAACCCCCTTCCCCAAGGCTGAAATGCAACTCACCCGCACAGCTTCTGACAGCATGAAACCTTTTTGCATCTCTACTTCTAGTCTCAAACAGCTGGGAGGGAGGAGTTGCATTTTAAGCCCTCTTATTTGAGTTGCTTTTAAATAAACTGTCTTTCTCCAGTCCACATCCAGTCTTCATTAGATTGTCCTCCTCGCGCCTTACTCATCTTCGTTCACTGTCTCAGTCACCAAATGTTGACTGAAGACCTACATGATCTTGGCACGGTGGAGGTTTATTCGAGGAAGACACATTCTGTGGCTCAAGATTTTCAGAATTTTACAGAGGCATCATTTACAATGGCAAAGTGCTGCACGCTTTCAGTTAACAAAACTAAGGCTCAGAATAAATAATAAATTAACGAGAGCAGAACTCAAGTCTCCTATTTCAAATCCCTCAGCAGAGTACTATGTTTTTGACAGGCTGTAAGTAAACAGTAATTTATTATTTTTCTCAGGATGGGGGTAATGTAAAGAAAAGCACAGTTAGCTTTAAGCCAAGCCCCCAAGCTGGGTGTGAATATCCATTATGTCCCCTTCCCCTGGGGTAAGGCCAGCTGCTTCCTGTCCTTGTAAGTCACCAAAAGTTTTACTGCTCTTTCCAGGACGTGTTCCAAAAGAAGAATTGAGCACACAGTCTTTGGAGCCAGTATCCCTGGGAGATCCAAGTAAGTTAATTGACAACTAGAAACCCACGGTGTCTTTGACATCTGAACTCCTCTCTCCTCTCTTCCCACTCACTCCCACTCAAACCTGCCTCTCTCCTACCATGGATCTATTTATCTCCTCTCTTTTGACACCTTGTTCTAAGGGGAAAAGGAAGCTTTTGAAGGATATAAACTGTCTATATGCATGAGGGGGAGAGGATCAAGATGTTTTAATATCACTATGGCAACAGGGTAAAGAATGGGATGGAACAGAAAGACAAGGAAGGATGAAAGGAGGAGATGGGCAGGTTGGCAGGGGCAACTGTCTAGTGCAAATGATGATGGCCAGAGCTCAGAGTTGGAAGTGGAAATGAAGATAAATGGGCATATTCAAGAGATACAGAGAAGGAAGAATCTATAGGATTGAAGGCAGAGGTTTGAGAGAGGGAGAAGTTAAAGATGAGCTGAGCAACTAGGTAAATGGTACTACAATGAGGAACACCGGGGATGCAGCAGGTTTATGTCTATCATCTTCTTCAAGACATTTGATCTGGTAGAGAGAAGACTACCCAGATCTGACATTCAGAAGGAACAGCCCAATCAGAAATTTAGAGTTGTAAGACGATGAGCTATAGTTCAAAACCGAGGCTATGAGAACAGAAAATGTGACTTAGGGAGATAGAGTAAAGTAAGAAGAAACACAAGACTTAAGCCTGAAGAACCACACTAGGTGGAGGATAAACCACCTGAGGATATCAGAACGAAAGAACCAGAGAAAAATAAGGAAAATGAGAACGGTATAGTAGTAGCCTACGAGGTATGGAAAGAAAGCACCTGCAAATTCCTCTAGAAAGTCACTACTAGTCAGCCACCAATGGACAGTGAGGCTCAACCTTACTGCATATGAGAATCACCTGAAGACATTATTAGAGATGCCCACCTTCCTGTCTCATACCTACTATATCAGGTTCTCCCTAGACCTTGCTACCCAAAGTGCGGTCTGGAGACCAGCAGTGTCAGCATCACTAGGGAGCTTGTTAGGAACACAGAATCTTAGGCTCCACCCCAGACCTGCTGGTTCTACAGTGATTGATTCCTTTGCACATTTACCCTTGAGAAGCACTGTCCAGAGTGAATCCCAGGAGTCTTCATTTGTTGAAGCTGCATTAGCAACCCTGATATGTACATGACTTTGATATGTATCCAGAGTTAAGAAACACTGGCCTGATGTATTGGACAACACAAAGCATTAATCTACAAAATTGTACCATGTTGAAGGAAACTAGAGCAATTAAATACATTGGTAGATTGATTCCCATAGATCCTATATCTTACTTTCTCTTCCTTGACTTTCAACCTCTGACGTCTTCTGTAGCCATAATAAATTGCTCACACTGAACACTGCATAACCCAATTCTACCTGTTAGCATTGATGTTGGCATCTTCAGATCAGAATGTTTTCATCTCCATGTAAGAAAGCCATGGGTCTCGGTCAAAACATGCCCTGAGCTGGAACCATTGTCATCTAAAAGAGGAGCAAAGGTAACCCTGGTATCAGCCATCAGGCTAGTGAGTAAAGAGAATTAAGCAATAGAGAAACAGCTCACCTTCTTAAGACCTAACTATGAGATGAACGTGTTAATCCTGAACGCAATTCAAGATGTAAGAAATAAGGAGGAAAAACTGCCTGTGAGGAATCAAAATAGATGCTACAATATCCATGTACTTTATTCATGTAAAAAGAAAATTCCCTTTGGCCCTTATTCTAATTAACAATTGTTCCCAAAAAATACTTCATTCCAAAAGGCATATTGAACTAATCTACTGACATCTGGAAGGGAAACCCCACCTCAGGAGTACTTCTGCAACTTTACTGTGCACAGGAATCACCTGGGGATCTTGTTAAAATGCAGATCTGACTCTATAGGTTTGGGTGGAGCCTGAGAGTCTAGCAAACTGTAGGTGCTAGTGGGCGGCAAGCCCTAAAGAACTCCACTGCCACCTGCTGGCAACAATTCACACTGCAAGCCCAGCCAGAAAAAAAAATGAATTGGCCTTGCTTGGGAATCAACAATATGACAAGCTGCATATGAGAATCACATGCTGCTTCTCCTTTGCTTTACCCCGGGTTTTAGTGGCATCTTTAAACTCTGCTTCTGGACTTTATTTGCCTCTTTCATTCTTCATCTCAAGATCATGCTTGGGTATAGGCAGTTTGGGGGCAGCAAAGGACAAGGGAAGCCAACTGCAAAGCATGAACTGGCAGGCACTGCACAGGCAGGCCGACAGGAGGTAAAAGCTTTTCTTTTGAGATTTGCTACTGAGCCAAGGTACAAACAGGTGCCCTGATTCTAGATGGAGCAAAGCCAGCCAGTCCCAGACGGGTGCCTCTCGTCTCCTACTTCCCTGGTTTTGATTGCCATGCAACACTGCAAGATAATAAAACACATTCTCAGGTATAACTTTTCTCATAATCACAGTTCTGCTGTAGCACTCAGCAATAAATATTTCTCATCAATTCTGCTCAAAACTTTGTCAACTCATGTTCATTTATTGCTTTCCTCTTGAAAACGATGTTTTTAAACTAGCAACAACCCTCTCCACCTACAGAGCTTCTCCTCCAGCCCCATGGCAACAATGCACTGTAGAGAATGTGGGTGGTTGTGTGCAGATCAGAGAGGTGCAGGCCTGTCTGGCCGCTGCTCCCCACCCCCGACAGGCAGTGCCCCAGTGTCCTTTTGGATACACCAGCCTAGAAATTTCCAACTTTACTCTCTTTTCTTTTTTTTTTTCTTTTGAGACGGAGCCTTGCTCTGTCTCCCAGGCTGGAGTGCAGTGGTGCGATCTTGGCTCACTGCAAGCTCCACGCCCTGGGTTCACGCCATTCTCCTGCCTCAGCTTCCCGAGTAACTGGGACTACAGGCACCCGCCACCACGCCCGGCTAATTTTTTGTATTTTCAGTAGAGATTGGGTTTCACCATGTTAGCCAGGATGGTCTTGATCTCCTGACTTTGTGATCCGCCCACCTTGCCCTCCCAAAGTGCTGGGATTACAGGCGTGAGCCACCACGCCCAGCCTTCTTTCCCCTCCCCCCTCCCCGTATGGAGATCTGTTTTGAAACATTTTTGTCTTCTAAACTGCAACTGTTAAATAATTTATTTTTCACTTTTTACTAATCAAAGGGATCTATAGCTCCCAATAAGAACCTCTTATCAGCATTGAATAGTCAGTTTTATCATACTGAGATGATATCATTCCTGTCTACAGCAAAGGAAACACTAATTTCCATTAGCCTGTGTGGGTTTTCACTAGTTCCTTTTGATGTTTGAAAGGGTGAAAAGAGCTGGCAGCCCATCCATCCCTTTACCTCTCTTATAACCTTCATAGTGATCCACAGAGATCCAGAGATCCTAAGCCAGAATAACATTCTATCCTAGTCTTCATCACAACTAAAAGAAAGAAAGAAAAAAGTCTAAGATAGCTACAAACAAGGACTGACATCCTATACATATATGTGGATAATTTCTTTGGTTGCCTCGCCCAGGGAAATGAAGGAGAATATTGATATCAATTTCTTATTCTAGAATTCCTGCCCTCCCTCAGTGCTGGCCTTACAGATCTCTCACACCTTATAAAAATCCAACAATTGTTTCTAAAAAGTTAGGGTGAGAGCAAAAAGCCACACACTCTTGAGACTCAGTCTTGATGAATTCTCACAACAGGGCGTCTGCACTTAGAAGATCTGAGCCTAGGAAACCATTGACAACCTTCCCAAGCTTGGCTAGGACGTCGCGCTTCTGAAACCTGTAATTGTGGCAGATACATAGAGTTTTAAACAGTTATGGAAATAAGGACTAGCCCAAGTGTCCAAGACCCCGGTGCTCAGGGAAACCCCTGTGGGATGTAAATAAATATACCCTGCATCTTACTACCTTTTTTTCCATTTCTTTTCATTTCTCAGGGGGCTCTGATGGAGAATGAGGAACAAGAGGATGCCCAGGTAAATGCAGTGAGATATCATGAGAATCATAGTCTTTTTCCATTCCGCAGACTGCAAAATTGACTTGTCGTTTTTAATTGATGGGAGCACCAGCATTGGCAAACGGCGATTCCGAATCCAGAAGCAGCTCCTGGCTGGTGTTGCCCAAGCTCTTGACATTGGCCCTGCTGGTCCACTGATGGGTGTTGTCCAGTATGGGTAAGTGCAGTTAATGTTCTGAATCCAGAAAGGAAGTCATGCCATGTGCTTAATTTTATGCCACAAATATTACCAACATGTTCTTGAGCACAGATTTGTTCTCTTCCCTAATGCAAATGTAAATGAAAAAAACTGAAGCAATCCAGATGCCATTTAAGAAATCTGTGGCTTCCTGAAGGAAAGGACAGATTAAAAAACACTTGTAACTAGATGGCATTTGCACTCAAGAGTATTTATTTGTCTGGAAAATAGGAGAGATGGGTGTGCGTGTTAACTTAGCCACTAACAAGCTGTGTGGCCTTGGGCTAGGCCTTCACCTCTCTGATTGTCAGTTTCCTCATCTGTAAATGGAGAAGGTTGGATCTGCTTTCAACCCTGACTATTAGAGCATTTGTTTGAGGGACTCCACCCTGTGCTACAACCTATCCACCTATAGGTTAGACACCTAGAGAACATGGTGCTTTAGGTTGTGTCTTCTCTTTTCTCCAAATAACCTTAGGCCCCTGCACTGGTAATGGAAAAACCCACCAGGCAATGGGGAAGAATGGGTGGGAAGAGAGATGGCCCCCATCAGTCAGCTGAGCACCTAGATGACTTTTCCCAACCTGTTCTATTATTCTACTTAGGGTAGAAATTGAGGGCTCATGTTGACACCAGTCTCAGTCTTTTATTCGGCGGGAATAAATCACTCTTATTTCAGCTATGAATAGGTTTGTCACTGAAACAGATATACAGATATTGATAATAAACAATCAAAAGAACAAGCGTGCATAATCTTAAATTTATACACACATCTTAAATAGGTAGCCTTTTGACCAAGAACCATTGAGGGCAGGACGGGTGTCATGCCTCCTACAAAGAACCAGTGGGCTTGGAAGGGGCAATGGAAGTGGAAACCATCATAACCTTTGGTGCCTATTGCTCAGAAGCTGCGGTCACAGCTTACTCACCCTCCTGAAAAGAAAAACTATCCATACCTGACAACACCCACGGGGTCTCCAGCGCCTTCAGAGGTTTCATTTTAACCAAGGTTGTTCTATCAAAGAGACTAGAATATTATTATTTTGAGTTATTTTGAGACTAGAATATTTATTAAGAGAAATAAATAAAAATGCTTTATTTTCATAAGAACCTGCAACATTTGCGTTTTTAGAATTTAATTCCAATTACCCATTTAGTACTACCTTCTATTCCTGTCAGGAAAAATTAGTAGATGAGTTAACTGGGACTTGTATGTAATCAGACTCAATTAGATAAACATAACCAATGGCTCCAAATATCACCTCTCAATGTCAGGTGATCTATCTTGAAGTTTTTGAATTGAAATAAGAAAAGTGGGATTTGGGGGAGTATTTTTGGTTTCACAATGCCAGCCCATTTTCATTCCTGTGTTACTTTTTACAGACAGCCAATGGATGGCAGGTTTTACTAGAGAGGAAACGTAAGCGTTTTAATGCCAGATGTCCTTAGTCAATTTTACTGGGGGCCTCAAAGCTTGGTGTGTTATCTTGCATTAAAAATGGCTGCTTTAAAAGCTTGTATATACCAAGGTTTATAGTATAATATGAAAATAAGGTGATAAATATGTCAGGGAAAAGAACAATGGCATGAGAATAGTGTTGCTGATGAGAGCATGGATTAGAGAACAAATGTAGCAGGGAAGAAAAATAAAGACGCCTTCCCCCAAAACATTTTCCCCACATATTCCTAATGTGATCACCATTCACAAGCAAGAGTTTACCCCCATGCTTTTCAATTTTACTTTCTAAAAAAATCCCTTGTGTCTGCCTTTTTCCCGGGATTCTTATTAATTTGTAGCACTTAGGGAAATGTGTTTGTTTTCCACTGTGTTATGCTCACATAAGCTAATCCATCATCTTCACCCTCCCCCGGCAACAGGGTGGAGTGGAAAGCGCAATGAACCGCTGACAGGTGATCTGAATTCGGGCCTTAGCTCCTCTGTGTGACCTTAAGCCAGTCACTTAACCTCTCCTTGTAAGTGCTGCCATCTGTGTAGCATGAGGGTCAGACCAGATGATTTATCAGGGCTCTGCCAGCCCTGGCGTCCTGTAATTCAGTGACCGGCTCTGTATTCAGAAGACATCCTAAATGAATGTGGGACTCACAGACCAGATAGCTGCCTCTCCTTTCCTTGCAGTCTTAGGGTCCTGAGGAGGTGGGGTGATCAATGATGAATTGATGTGTTGCACAGAGGTGATACATCCATCCGTGGAACGTGGGAAACCAAATGAGAGGGCGGCCTGAGAAGGGTGTGATGAGGCCGAGGGGGAGACACATTTTTTCAGCAGAAGCTGCTGTTGGTTTCACTTGTCCAGCTTCCTCTCCTGGGTGGTCCCCTTCAATCCCTGCTGTATGCGTAAGTGCATACAGAGGAAGGGAGTGGGGCATCCTGGTCATTTGGGTTCTCACCAGATTCCAATGCCCTCTTTCCTCCCCCTTAAAATCATCCCTGCGCTCTTGGAATCACAGCCTGAGGCCTTGAGAGCACCTGATTCTACCTCTTTGTGTTGTAGTGAGGAAATGAGGCCCTACAAAGAAATGACCGCCTCATCAAGAACTAGCACTGGAAGGAGAGACAGGTTGAGAAGGACCTGGCCAAGGGAGGAGGGCTCCAGAGCTCAGAACTGCTCCTTCCCTCCGTTACCACTGCCCCTGGTCCACACGGCTTCCTGGAAGGTTCTTTCCCTGGGTTTTCCTTAGGAGAGCTGAGTCAGAATTTAGACTTTTAAATTTAGAACTTGAAAGACAAATTTGGAAGTTAAAAGACTCATACTAAATATTAACCGGAAAAAAAGGTAAAGAAAAATATAAGACCTATAAAAATGGTCTCATTTACAAAATGCAACACACCTCACTCCTCAATCTCCTCAAAGACATTTTGGGTACAAGGAACCGAAAACCACTCCAGGTAGCCCAGGTGAAGGGAGATTCATGGAAAGGTGAGTGTTCACAGGACCAACGAGTCATTGGCCATCCCCTTCCCCACCTCTGCCTGCATCTCTACGCCTCTCTGCCTGTCCATTCTGATCTTCTCTCAGCAGACAAGCATCCTCTGCCAGGCTCTTGGTTTCTACTCCTCCATAACTTCACTTTGCACTGGCTGAGTTCCTACCTCTGGTCCAGGCCCAACAGAAGTCTCAACCACCGTGGAACTGGGCAAGCACCCTCTCCCATGTTCCCCACCTGCAGGGCCCATAACCCACAATCACGTTAACCTGGCGGCAACCACAGCATTCCTACCACACTCATCGCATGCCTCCAGGAATAGAGGCAGCTTCTGATGCAGAGTCAGAGAGGTTGACTGACTTTCCCAAGAACACGCAGCTAAATGCATGACTAGGGCAGAGGACAAATATTAGTCTTGGGTTAATCCCTAAAATGTCAAACAAAATTGTCTTGAAAGCAGAGATTCCGCTCATCTGCCAGGAAAATGTCTGATAATTGCTACTTTTCACCTCCTAAAGACTGAGACATTGTGTGTGGACAACAGGCCAAGGATCAAGCCCCTGTCTTTCACATGAATTCTAAGTTCAAATTATACAACCCAAAGGTTTATAATTGCACCTAATACCAACAGGAACACGGAAAGAGTCAATGAAAGAACAGTCAGGACAAGCCATTAGGTGAACTCTAGTAACAAACACCTGGCGAAACACTTTGCATTTGAGCGGCAGCCCAGACCCTCAGGTGCTAAATGTCCTCTAGACCTTCACTACACTTTCATTTCAGGCTCCAAAAAATGGAACATAATTGCACACATTCTTTGTAATCAACCCTAGGATATCAAAATTGGAAACAGTTGTGGGATGAAGGAAACTGTTGGGTTTTTCTTCATTTGAAAATCAAATAGACTTACCTTGCTTATGTGTCTATAATAGCTGTCCTGTGGTTTAACGAGTGGCTCTGAATTGGCTGCATCTCCTTAGTCTTCTCACTTCTCAGCCCAACCAACTTCAGCTCCTGGACTGAAGACTCGTGGTCATGCATTCAGCTGGGCAGAGCAGCTTCCGTAGGTTGGCTGAGCCACCGAGTGCAGGACAGTCAGAGTTGAGGGGAAGAAGCAAAATGCCATGTCCGGTATGTTAGGCAAAATAATGACCCGAAAGTTGTCAATGTCCAAATCCCTGGAACCAGTGAATGTTTTACCTCACACAGCAGAAGGGACTTTGCAGATGTGGTTAAAGTTAACAACTCTGAGATGGGGGATTCTCCTGGGTTATAGGGATGGTGCAGTGTAGCCTCACGAGTCCGTAGAAGTGGAGAACCTTTCCCAGCTAATGTCAGTCAAAGGGAGGTGTGATGATGGAAGTATAGTCGGAGAGATGTGGCATTGCTGGCTTTAAAGATGGAAGAAAGGGCCGTGAGCAAGAAGTGAAGGCATCCTCTAGTAGCTGGGAAACACCAGGAAATGTATTCTCCCTGGAGCCTCTAGAGAGGGGCACAGCTCTGCCCACACCTTGCTTTCAGCCGTGGAGACCCACGTCGGACTTGGGACCTCCAGAACTCTCAACTAAGTGTGTGTTATTTGAGCCAGCAAGTTTAGGATCATTCGTTACAACAGCAGTAGGAAGCTAATACAACTGGCAACGAGGACCACTCTGTCTCATTCTCTGAGTCTGCAGCCAAAAAAAGGGAGGGGGAGTGGGAGGGGCTGGGGCATGAAATGCAGCTGGGATGGGGGCTGGCAGAGGTGAATCACAGCACCCACCCTCGGACTTCAGAGCAGGAAGGGGCTGTCTGGGCCTTGACTTCACGTTGGCATTTCCTGGGGAGCTTTTTAAAATGCTGATGCCTGGGTCCTGCCTCAGACCTATTAAACCAGAATCTGGCAAGGGGATGAGGCCCAGAAGTTGGTATTTTAATCTGTAATTCTCAAGATCTCAGAACAGCTCCCTGTCACCTGCCTGGCCTGATTTTCCAGGGCCTAGTGCCCCTTGCAAAGACCCCACCATGCCACTTCTTTCCTCTCTGAGAGACAG